GCTCGTCCCTGCTGTTCCAGCTGAGTGTTCCTCAGAGCCCTGCAGGAGCCCTGGCACTGCCTGAGGGGGTTTGTGAAGCAAAGCCTCTCCTCCATCCCTTCCTGTCTCAGCCGAGAAAGCTGTCACGGAGTCCCTGGTTCTGTTTTCTTGCTAACGCTGTAGTTACTGTTGTTTGTTTGCCTTGTTATAAATACTAGTAAAGAACTGTTATTCCTATCCCCAGATCTCTCTGCCTGAGAGCTCCTTGATTTCAGAATTATAATAATTCGGAGGGAGGGGGTCTACATTTTTCATTCCAAGGGAGGCTCCTGCCCTCCCTAGCAGACACCCGTCCTCTAAAACCGTCCTCTAAAACCGAGACAACTATTTAGCTGGAAAAATCAGTGCTAGAAATAGTATATGAATCTCTACACAAGGTATCTTGACAGAATCATCACCTAAGTGAGCAATTTTTGATGGGCAGCAGGAAAGAAAGTAAGCTCTTTCAAGAGATATAGTCCCATTCCATTTCACTGTGACAACTCCTGGGGATTATTTTGTCTTTTTATTTGTTTGGTTTTTTTGTTTTTTTTTTTTGCAGCTGTTCATCCATATGCTGCACCAGACTCTCACTCCATTAGTTTTATTAAATAATTTATACTTCATTTACCATACCTCTCAAAGGAAGACAAATCAAATAAGTACATTGCTTCTTTGGCACACCAGAAACTACAAAAAAGAGGCTTTGATCAGTTATAAATAAAAGTGTTGATATCTCTGTAAAGTTAGTACTGAGTTTACAAGCTTTAAAGTACCTACCATTCAATAGCACTCAGCCTTGGCTGATGTTCAGCATCCCACACAGTATTTACCTCTGGTGAATCTAATACTGTTACAAGATGATTTTACAAACTAGGGTATTAATGAAGCACTCAAAGGGATTTTAACTGTTACAAATTTATTTCTCAACTCTATGTTGGTCTAGCAGCGCTAACAACATCAATATATACAGAGAGGATTTTCCTATAGGCATTCATGAAGCAAACAAATGTCACAGGAAGAATATGGTTATCAGTAAGGAGGCTGGTTGAAACCTGCCAACTCCTATTGCAAGACTCATTCAGAACGGGCTTCTCACACACAGCTCTCTTCTTATATTCTGATACTCAAATAAATCCATTCCTAACATACAGATTCAAAGACAAAGACAAGTGCCTCTCAGGCACTTTTTCCTGGGGTGTCAAACCTTCTGTTTCCCATTAACTGGCAGTGCTGCAACTACAGGTCAAATGCTGTGTGCCCACACCAACTACGTTACTCAGCTATCACATGCTGTATACTGTATTGCAAATGTGTTTTTACATGTACTTCCTAATAGTTATTAAGGACTCCCAATAGATTATTGTGTGAAGTATGAACTACAGTTTGTCAGAATATTTTTCAAGAGTTGTCAGTTCAAAAAGGGTATGTCATGGGTATGTACTAATTAATTGTATTTTTACCATAAAGGTCAAGAGGGAGTCTGGCATTCAAAATCTTACTAGAGCTCATATTAAAGATCTGATCATAAATGTTTCTATATAGTTATATTTCCCACATATATTTACAGTAAACATAATTTGGGTTTTTTTGTTGGCAAACTCTAACTGTGATACTATCTTTGGCTATATCAAAAGATGCAACTGGAACAATATGGATTCCATCCCCAAAAAAGCCTTAGCATAGTGACTTAGAACTGGAAGGACATCACTAGGAATTAAATATGACAGAGAACAAGAGGGGTCTAGAAGGCAGGATCAGCCTAAATTCAAGAAACCCTCCTAAATACTGTCTGAATTAGGTTCATAAAATGACACATTTTTAATCAACTTGTAAAACACAGCACTGCTAATGAGTCTCTATTATTTTCCTTTACTGTTGCATATACAAAATTTAAAAGTACATGCAGTGATCTCGTAGTTTCTGAAATTAAGAAGCTAAGTGCCAGAATTTTAACCGTGCTACTTTAATTACTTTAATTTAGAATACTGTGTATGCATATTCTGATAAAAAGCAACATTTTAAACTAAATTATATACACAATATAAATGCTAAGGAAACCAGGTATTTCATCAGAATAACTCATGCTATTTAGCCCAACAATAAGTGAGTAATAAGGGTCCCTCCTTAACAATATACTGGTGGTTTGCTGTTCTGAGGTACAGAGCTCATTCTCCAGTGTATTGAAGAACAGGACAGCTGGTACCATTACTATTATTAAACCATTATAGTGCCAGAACAAAATGCTTTCTGTAAAAACATAACATTATTTTCTCTAAGTTTATGGAAAGAATAGAAACAAATCTTTTTTCAATTAAAATTCAATAAATTCTAATTAATTGGAACAAAAAACATGTGTTTTCTTAGAGAAACAGGAGAAATGCAGTGTGTAATATAAAACATCTTAATCCCTACATCCTCGTAACTAGAAACTATTTGGAACTCATTCTAAGTTGTGACACAAATGGAAAAATCTCAATTCAAATAAACAAAAGAAGTCAGATAAGTTGTTAACTGCCTCAGGTTTTTACAGAAAACATCCTCCAAGTATTCTTTGCTTTGTTCCAACTGTTCCTCAGCGTTCCACCCCAATACTCAAGATGACAACTACATCTATGGTGACACTGTTCTGGGGAAGGAAGGAACCTGTGGTGCAGCTCCAATGGAAAAAGGGCTGTATCAGGCATAAGCAGGGACAAGGAAAAATTTAGAAAGACCATATGGGCATGCAGGGGTTACATCAGGTTAAACAAAGTTTAGTGGGAGTTAAGATTTGCATGGAATGTCAAAGGCAACAGCAACAGCTTCTAGTGCTCCAATAGTAATGGAAGGCGGAACAGAGATGAAAGGTTGAACAGGAAAAGTATCAGCCTGCTGCTGACTTGGGAAGATGACCTAATGGCAGCAGAAACGGATGATGCTTCAATGATTCAATACCACCGTTAAGGTATCAAAGGCATCTGTTGTTTTGCAGAAGGGGTTCAAGAACTACCATTTGGAGAGTAAATGTTTAATACCCCTTACTTCACCTGAGCCACAGACCTGTGGAATAACACCAGGGTTGATCCTGGGACCCATCCTGTTTAACACCTTAATCAAGAAGGGGAGCAATAGAACACAGAGGAGGGAGGGCGCCACTGTCATTTCCAGCTGCTCTGTGTTTCTCTAGCCCCGGCACGAGAAAGGCAGGGGAGGGAACGAGACGGGGGAGGACGAGAAATGCCACCGTCTTTCCCCGAGCCCGCTCCCTGGCACATGGGAACTCAAGCTTTTGTCTTCTGGTCCCTGCCTGTAGACACTGCCTCTAGCTTCCGTGCATATTCCTGTGTCCCATCTAAAGGAGGCTGGGTGTGTACCTTTATCCCCACCTCCCCCCTGTGCTTTCAGGTTTACTCTGTACATCCCACGCACGATAAGATGTTTCTTATTCGAGGGAATGTACGTCTGTTATTTCTTGTCTTTGCGTTTTTAACCTTGATGTGTATAATTTAACCTTGATAGTTTGTTAATCTGCTATCTGTGGAAAATAATTGGTTCTCTCCAAAGTTCCCACCCTCTGAAGAAGCCCCTGTTAAAAGAAGCACCCCAGACCCTAATTATTTTGTCTGATTCTCTGGAGTTCCCTTCACAGAAATCAACTGTGGAACATAACCCGGCAGAAGGGTCCCCCCTGTTTCTTTACTCGTTTGAGATATATGAGTTCAAGAATTTCATTGGTGAGCTCAAATCCTACTCCTGGGCTCGAGCCAGAGTGAGGAAAAACCCCCATCTCTGAACTAGCCAAGAAACTCTGGGCTTGGGTCAAACATAATTTGAAAGACTGCATGTATTAAATTTGCACAGAACACAGCCCAGATTGTTACATAGAAGTACTGAAATGTGGTTTTTTTCCATGCCATTCTACATTAAAAGCAGAGGTTTCCATGAAGTGATAACACAATACTTAGCCTATTTCTGGAAAAGATTTTTGGCATTTACATCTTACCTTTGTATGCAATAATTGGGTGCTCAGCTCTGTGGCAGTGGGTATCTTCTGTTGTTGTTGACTCCCCAAGTCCTGCCAAGAGCAGTGTGAGAAAGAAACTTCCTTTCATGGTGGTCATGCTGTTCTCCACAGCAGTCACTTCTTTTACCGGTCTACTCTTCGTGCACTCATGTAGGAAAAGCACCTGGAGAATTCAAAGAAATTTATTCAAGAACAAGAGCAAAACACAGAAAAAAATTAGACAATTCTTGAAGTTTAAAACAAAACAACATTGCTTTCTGTGTAGTATTTGACTACTCAAAAGCATGCTGTCATCTGCTCCTCTAATTACTTCACATACCTATCATCAGTTACCCAATTTAGGAAAATTGATCTATCACCCAGCAGGATTAAAATACTGATATTCGTTAGTCCCTCTTTTTTATTTTGTAATATGTGGGGAAAAGAATATTCTCCAGCAGTTTTTTATTTTATCATCTTAAAGCAAACATATTTAAATCTATCTTTACACTGTTTCTTGCCCTGATATCCTCAGTGATGGAGTGCTTTGACTTCTTGCAAGTACAAGGTAGAAAAGGAATTGCTCCCTCATGTCAATGACTACCTCGAGAGAAAAAAAGTCCTAGAGCATGTATTTTTTGCTAATCTGTAGAGTTTGTATGGAACAGCACAGAAAGGAGTAGGACATGATTCACCCCAATGCTCTGACACACACTTCTGCTTTACAGCAGTGATGGTCACTGGTTCTGACATTGCCTTAGTTCCGATCCATTTCCTGACTGATGACAAGGCTGTGACTTGAAGACTCAAATGATGAAGACCCCTTTCTAATAAAATTTAGATACCGATCAGCAATGCAATTGTTTTCATTCAGAATCAGAAAAAATGTTGACGTTCAACTCCTCAATTTTTTGAAATATCCAATAACCAGACCTTTATATAAGTAATAGAATATGTATGGCGTCAATATGATTTTAGATCCAAACCAGCTCCTTTTGTTTCATCACTAAAAATGTGCCAAGCAGTAACAACTTAATCATACAACCCAAAAGAAACTTTCACCACTAGCAGCTTTAGTGAGTTACACAGGCTTGCATGCTGATAACACACAGATATGAGACATCATTGCCTATCATGGGGGAAGACCAGAGATTTAAGACAGCTCCATAAAGGCAGAAATGTCACTCTGCTAATTAATGGAGAAATTCAGGAAAAGAAAATCAGCGATTTTGACTTCTAATATGTTTGATCTCACTGAACTGTATTGTGCTGTTTAATAAGGTGGAAACTTTCTATTTGCATAAAATAAACATCCTAGATGCATAAAATGAAGGGCTGTTAATGAAAAGACACTCCACAATAACAGCAGTGTGTTCTAAATGCTACATTCAGAAGGCAGAATGGATAGTACACATTGGTCCCTAACATTACTAGCACCAGCCTTCATAAGACAAACTGCTCTTCTCTTACCACCTTATTATGCTGCCTTTAGTTGCCTAAAGTGTCTTTAGATGTGGACACTTCTAATCCTCATTAATTTAAACTAAATAAATAGATTAAAGACATAATACCTCTGAGAAGTAAATTTAAGTCAATTTTAGCTTCTTTGCAAAATTTTCTTAACTTACTGAAAAAAAAGAAGGAGAAGCTTCGAGGCAGTTAGAATCACATTCTTACTTTCCTAAGAAGTGTTTTATGACGTCATGCACCAATATGAATCTGGCCCTACAAATTGCTTGTGGCTCACAGCAGGCAGTATCTTTTAATAGAAATTCTGAATACTAATGCATGTAGTGCATAAAGCACTTGATCCAATGTTTAATAGTCCATTTTCTGCAAGATTTATATTTAAATGTATGATGCACTATTCTTAAACAAATTCAAGTAGTCTATGTGGGTTGTAGTGTTTCTATTCACAGTTTACAGATCATAAAAATACACTACTAACAGCTACTTCTAATTCACATTTCTGTAAAATTACATTTGTGAATTTAGGAAGCAAAATGAAGGTCTGATACCTTCATGAAGGTCTCAAAAAACTGGGTTTTTCCTGCTCACAGTGTAGTAGCAAGTATCCCAAGACTTAGGTATTTTCTCATTTGAAACAAAATGAAAAACAAACCAAAAAACAAAACAAGAACAGAGAAAAACCAAAACAAAAAAGCTCAAACAAAATCCAAAGCTTTCTTTTAATTTTGAAAGTCTCAGAAATACTCATAAATATGTGAATATAATGGAAATGGAATTAAACAAGAAAATAACATGAAACATTTGCACTGAAATCAAAGCATTCTCAGTCTCTCTGTCTGTAAATGAAACCCATGGTCTTTACGTAACCAGGTTTTCCCATCCCAGCCAAGTTTCAAAAAACCCCTAGCAAACACAGCAAAAAGACAATCCTGTTTCTCTAGAAAGAAAGAAAAGGACTGCTACCCTTCATCCAAATATTAAATACACAAATGGGTATGTATGCCTTGGTTTCCATTACGAAAAGGATACTTAATGTCATGGGACTAATAGTAGTATTAGTAATGACTAAGATGTAAATGTTAATAGGCCTGATGTCTTGTACCCTTGTCTTGGTTTGAAAGGACAGGTGTCTGCTAAGGAAGACAGAAACTTCCCTTGAAATGGAAAAATGTAAGCCAACTCCCCCTCTGAATTACTATAATCTTGAAATCAAGGGGCTCTCAGGTAAAGATATGGGACTAGGAATAACAGTCCTTAACTAGGGAAATTAAAATAAAAATGCAGTAATACAAAAAAAAAAAACAAACTAGTGACAGAGTAGAATATAGAGTCAGAGGCAGAATACAACTGGACACCTTGTTGGTCAGGGTGTTGGTAGCAGTCCAGTTAAATGATGTCTGCAGTCCTCTTGGAGTTACAGATGTGGTTCTGTTGAAGCAATGATCCTTTAGAAGGGTGTAGTGTTCCTCTGATGGTCCAGAGGGGTCCAGTCTTCCTTTCTTTGTGAAGAAAGGCTACCTGTGGTGTTCTAAATCTCTGATTATATTCAGGTAGGCAAGCTTGGCTCCTCCCCCTCGGTGGACCATCTCATGATGGGATGATGTAATTTTATCAGTCATGCAGTGAGACTCAATGGCCCATTAACAGAAGATATCCCCCTGGAGGGAAGATGGGTCATTGAAGAGATAAAGAACATTGCCACATCTGGTTTTAATATATGTTAATAGAACGCATACTTTTGGTTACATCTTGCATTGCAACCCAAGACAACCCTGCAGGTATCAGGATGACTTCTCCCACCTGTCCCCTGTGAACAGAACTCAGTAGGAGAAACAAAGATTCCTTCACAACACCACCTTTCTCTGGCCTTTTAATCCAAACAGCGTCCTGTTTCATGACACACTACTTACATGCCATAGGTGGTTTCTGACACAGCTGTTTACATTTTATAGCCATGCTGTGGAAGAATTTTGGGGCCAAGGACTTTTTTCCTTACTAGATGAACTCTTTCTCTCACTGCATGCATCTCACATGGCAAAAACTGAGGCAGGAAACTCATTTAGAATATCCAAAGACAAGGAGAAACGAGAAACAAAGAAATACACTTCTGAACATATATCTCAGAAAAATACAGTTATAGTCTCAGTTTCTCTCTACCTGGACCTCTATCTCTGTATATGTATTGCACTATTTTATTAATTTTAGTCTATTAATGATTTTGGATGTATTAATTTAAATATATTATTGCAGGGAATTGTGAGGAGAAGCTAACTTGCAACAACTCAGAGAAGACTCTTCAGAGGCCCTGAGTGACAAAAGAACAGTAAATCAAGGCAGTAGATAGAGACTTCATCACAAGTTTTTAAGTTTCTATCCTTTTCACTACACCACTGTGTGCATGGAAGAAGAAAGGAGTCTGGAGACCGCACCTAATACACTGCAAGAGTAAAAAAATAAAAAGTGTGTTTTTTAAGATCCACAAACAAAACAAAGAAAACCAAACAAACAAAACTCTTCATCCAAGAACCAAAAACCCCATACATCCCCAAACCCTGCAAAAAATACAGAGAAACATACACCTTCAACATATACCCACAGCATGAAGTGATAAACAGACACCTTAGAAAAGATCTCAAAACTGAATATTTTTCCACTGAACTTGTATGGGTTAGATTGCTCCCTTCTGTACACTCTTGAGTAAGGACTGCCGTACAAATTCCATTGTTGCCCAAGAGAGCAGCTGTAAGAGTGAGCCTGTGGAAGCACGCAACACAAACCTGAAACACTGCAACAAATCAGAAGGCTTGAACCAGGCAAAGCAATCTTTCCTCTAATCACCCCTTTGCCTTACTGAAAGTGCAGCTTTCATGCCAAGCTAGCCTGAAGCAACACAAGACAAGACAAAGCCAAGAGAACCCTAAACATGTAAAGATTAAGCTGGTTTCCTTGATTTCAATATAATTTCCATATGTAAATCTCTCTCAACAATGATGGTCAGGTCAAAACTCTTCAAAAAAATATATCCAAATATTGACACTGATCAGCTTTTTAACTATTGCTAAATATTTGAGGAGACTGCACATTCACCTGTTATTTGCAAAACTTTTATAGAAGAGACCTTTATTCAGACTTTCAACAAATTGCATTTTACAAGTTTGTAAAACAATCTGAAGATGCAGAATGAAAAAGAAAGCAGAATAAGCAGCACTATAAGATGCAATTTATTGCAATCTATTTTTTATTCCTGTATGTTAAGGGTCTTGTGCCCTTACTCTATCCCTCATTCCCTTTGTTTTGATCCACCTTGCCTAGAAGAAACATAAAGATAAATGAGGCACATTCGGCAAAGGCATACTTTACAAATGTAGCCTTTGGTTTCACCAACAACAGTATTTGATCAAGAAAAAACCCAGCAATTCAAGATTTTCTGTTTCAGTTGAACCAAAAAAGACACCTATTGCTAAAAAGTGTGCACAGATAAGTGCAAGGCAGGTAACTGCTATTCCTAGGTCCAAGCAGATTCATTTAGAGACTATTCCCTCCAGGCACTGAAGTCATATATTTAAAGTCAAATAATCAGGATGTCAGTATTTCTAGATCAGTTAAAGTACACTGTGTTGGAATAACAATTTACCTTTGAATTATAAACTACATTTTCTTTGTTCAAAATAAAGTACTGTATGCAAAAGCTGCCACACTAGATGCAGTTGTTAC